GTCTAAGTGGTGCGACAGATTTTAAGATATGAGGTGTCTTTAGCTTCACCTAAGTTCTGACTATGTAATTATTCAAACAAATCAACATGGCGGATTTTAGTATTCACTAAGGATTTTTGAAAAAAAAATGTCATATGATCATGTGGGGTATCAAAATAAAGGGCTCGAAGAGACTGCTCCAAAAATATATCGCAATTACAGATTAGAAATAAAAACAAATGAATAAATTAAAAAAAAAACAAGATCTCATTTCAAGCTCTGGTACATTATATGCAATGCTAGAAAAGATATCATTTGTTAGCAAAAGTATGAAAATACCCCAAATGTTTAATAACCCTAAAATCAATTGTATGCCGCACTTACTCAATTTTTGTTTTGTAGTACATTTCTGATTGCATTTACTATTTTGCTCATAGGCTTTTTATTAACTAAATAAAAGGCATTTATTGAGCCTAGACGCACTTACCCCAGTTATAAGGGAAAGCGTGTATAGGCAACCAATTTTCTTCAAACTCATGAAATTTTATCAAAACGTATTTTTTCATATTACATAGAACGACGGGACAATTATTTGCAACTAAAGAAACCAAGCTATCTAGTAGTACCTACTGAACTTGTCTAGGTTTCTTAAACATAAAAATACTTACAACTAAAGCTAATGATTTAAAAACTATAAGTACCACACTTGCCCCAACCGACCTTATTATATATTATGTCATATATTATATTTTTATTATGTTTTATCATGTGGCAGACTCGGTAAGGAACGTCCTAGACGAAGGTTTATCAACCAAATTGGCGATATATAGAAAATGGGCCAGATTAGGAGTACCCTTAACCGATGAGCCTGTATGCGCAGATATAAGGATGTAAAAGAGGCGAGAGAGATGTGTCAGGATTAAGCCAAATGGAAGTCCGTAGTCTCTGCCTACCCCTCTGGAGTGACAGGCGTGAGTTTTTATGTATGTATTTTTATTGTAACCATTTAGACGAAACTCCAGTAGTTAAAATGCCTTGAGTGGTGCCAGTGGACAAGCCACTTAAAATCAAAAGGGCAAAAAACATTAAACTTTAATAAAATATATAAATAGACTTCAATAACTAAAAATAATAAAATAATTTCTAATTATTAACTTCTGAAATCGGTACGCGTACCAACACATAGTATATCGAAGAATTAAAGCTCCTTTTGCTTTTGTCATGAATTTTGAAAGCCAAAGACATTTGAGTCATTCTCTTCTACAGTTAATTTATAGTAACATTTAGTAAAAACAATCTAAACTATGTTTAAGATATTAAGTTCTGCTGTTTTAAATTAAAACTAAGTATTATTTATTAAATATTACTATTCGTAAACAGACACAGAAACAGAAACTTTTTTATTCAATATAGATTATAAATAACACTTATTGAAAGTCACTCTTTCGTATAATTACCACTGGTTCGAAAAAAAAACCTCTGTCCTGGGAAGAACAAGCAAGAAACCCAGCGGGACTTTTTTTTAAATAACAGCTTACAATCATGAAAGTCACTCTTTCGTATAATTACCACTGGTTCGAAAAAAAACCTCTGTCCTGGGAAGAACAAGCAAGAAACCCAGCGGGACTTTTTTTTAAATAACAGCTTACAATCATGTATGTTACACAAATTAACAACACAACAAAATATTAGAAATAGCTTGGTAGCGATCAACACATTTCCAGGGGTTATTATCATCTATAAATTCATTAATATTATAATAACCCTTTTTATACAAACTTAGTTTAATAAAGTTTTTGAACTTTGAGCAGGTCAAATTTTGTATATTTTCTAGAATTTTGTTGTAAAAGCGTATACATCGCCCCAAGAATGAATTACTGACTCGATGGAGCCGAGTAACTGGTACTACTAGCTTGTGTCTGTTCCTAGTATTTATAGAATGAATATCACGTATTTTCGTAAAACTTCTTTTATTTTTGTGTACGTACATTATATTTTCATAAATGTATTGAGAGGCCAAAGTTAATATATTAATTTCCTTAAATTTTTGTCGCAGCGACTCTTTAGGCTAATAATAAAAATTATCATTTAACTATTTTCGGCATTTTGCAATAGCTTTAAACAGTCATCGTCATATCCTGTGAACACGTATCCAATAGGGGTTTTCAGGATGTAAACCCACTAAAATTTATTAAAAAAAATTGCTGATTTGGTTAACAACGGAACTGTATTACGGTCTATTTTAAAACTCAAAAAGTAGCTGGTTATTTAATTTTGTATCGTACGGCAAATCGTAAAGCAAAGGGCCGCAAAGCATAAGCATCCAAATGATGTGGACGTAGTAACGTGAGTTTTGTAAAAAATTGTTATTATTGTGTTAAAATCAAATAAATCAAATACATTAAAAGTTCAAAGGAACAATAGATATTCAGATTACTTAAAGTAGATAGTCTTCCAACCCTTTTGCATGCTAAAAGTCAGAGCTCTTCGGGATACAAATCAGTACATAATACATAATGCACTCATTAAAAAATCTATTTGATAAAATAAATGTGGAACTCCAATTGCTCAGAAAATAAACTGAAATTGTTCACATAATGTTTTATTATATTTACGCGAATACTACACATGGAAAAAAACTAATTTTAACGCGATAAGATCCGTAAAATTAATTTTATTCCATGTAATTGTTCAGTTATAAATGAATACAGCAGATTCCCCTCGTGAAAATTTTAACGGATCAATACCAAGTCTGCTCGTTGTCTCCAGTGATGGTCATGTTAATTATTCACAGTTGCTTGTTGCTTTACTAAGGATTTTCATGGTTATTATTTCAAAAACTGTCAGCAGTCAATCAAGCGATGAAGATGAACAAAATTCTCAACTAAGACGTTTTGTTCAGTCACCACATAATAACTCATCGCCACTTAGGAATCCACAGTTGAAAATCCATTCGATTTTGTACTATAAAGATTAAAAAACACAAAAAAAAACAAGCTTCTACCTAAGACATGATTAAAGAAGTACCATTATCGGTTATCATCAGGTCCTTTTGACTGAACGAATGAGAACTCACACTTCGTGTTCTAATAATTTGAAATTAAAAATTATGTATAGCCGACTTCAATATAAGTTATTAAGAATAACTCAATAACTATTGGTCTGACTTTGATCAAATTCATACGGGACCACAAAAAAAGTATCAGCTTTCAAATAAAAAAAGAATCATTGAAATCGGTTTACCTAGTAAAAAGTTATGAGGTAACACATAAAAAACATACAGTCGAATTGAGTACCGTCTCGTTTTTGGAAGTCGGCAGAAAACACGTTTTTTTTTCAGCTTATCAAATGATGAAGTAATATTTAGATATTTATCGTCTATTGTACCTATTTGGAACATTAGGATTATTTTGTCAGTTGATTATTAGTATGTAGATTTGATATTGATGTTAAGTATGCGCATATCTCAAGAAGTACAAAAGATCACATAAGAATTGCTATATTTTTTTAGATAGCTAAGAATTCATCAGAGCCGTGGTAATTCAGGAGCTAAGTCCTTACTGTAAATTACACAGTACGCGAGCAACCCAGGTCCGATCTTCGCGCGCATCAATGAAGTATTAAGTCTAATTTTAAGTGCTGATTTACTACATGCTGGCGGTGAAGGAAAACATCGTGAGGAAACCTGCACATCTGAGAAATAAGAACAAAATATTTCGAAGACATAAAGTTCGCCAACACTTATTTTTCTATTGGGGCAGCGCGGCGGACATTTCCTTGACCTAACCCACTCAGACCCTCTAAATCCCTCCCAAAAATGAGAGGAGGCCTGTGCCCAGCGGTGGGACGTATATAGGCTGTGACTTTAAGAATTCATCACATCTAGCAACGTATGGAACTTTTCTGTTATCAGCCATTTTTATAACTTTGTTGATTTTTACTTCTTTATAGGCTAGCAGCAACTGATATCAGAGATTTCAATTTCAATCTCTTGGATATTAGATGATTAACAATTTGCGTCGTCAGCCGTAAGGACTAAGATAGATTGCCTCTTTTCCAGTAAAAGGTCTCCGGTTCTCTACACTTACCATACACAGCAGTTAAGCTGCTATTTTACGCTGTTATTTTGTGAGAGCGTGGTCCTTCCCCGGTCGAGCCGACCCATTCGTGCTACAAATATACTATTAATATAGCTGCATGGCTCTACCACGTAAGAGATCGTTATGCTTATTTATTTTTAAAAGAATACTTTTCTTGTCATTTAACACATTTAAGTATTTTTTGATCTTTATTCGAATAGGTGAAACAAAAAGTAGATGTATCTCTGCTCTAAATTTAATCGTATGCACAATAAAACGAAGCTTACGACACTTGCGAAATGTGTGCACGGTACGCATCCACTAAAGCTCTAGAAAAGGGACGTCCCGGGTCTCACTGGAGGGTTGGCAACCCTAGCTCTTGAGTACTCTGAGTAATTTTTTCTATTATAGGTATGTCTGTATTATAGATATGATTTTCTTCATAGTGTCCTATCTCAATGCGCCACTCGGTACCCTGTATACTCATGAGATTGCCAAGCCTTAAAAATTAAAAACGAACTATTTTTATAATCCTATGCGGTATCACTATCACATTGTTTACTACTTTTACAAGCTCCATGAGGCAATCACAAAACAGAATTATTATTTATAATATTTTACCTAGGTATGTCAATAATTCCGGGGCTGTAAATTTGCACAGTACACAAACCAGGTTTTAACCCCACAGGCACCGATGAATTTTTTGATTGCAATTTTAAATGCTGATTTACCTAAAACGTGCTCGACCTTGAATGAAACATCGTGAGGAAACTTACATGTCTAAGGAATAAAATATATCGGGGACATGTGAGGTTCACCAACACGCACTAGAGCGGGGCGCAAAATGCTCCATTATTCTGCAAAAATGAGAGGTCTGTGCCTAGCAGTAACGTAGGCTATGCTGTACTTTATAGTTATAATTTTTATACGTGTTTTTTACAGGTCGATCCGAGCAAAGTTTGCAGGATAAAGTGCAACTCACTCCTTGCAAAAAGTTACCGTGCCGTCTCAAGAAAGGAACCAACCAACACATTACAGTGCACATAACGCCAGGTAAAAATGATAACGTGATTGCGACTTACGATTGTCTGCTTCATATATCTTTTATTTTACAATCGCAGTTCATAGCATATGATCATTTTTAAATTGCCTTACTTTATTTACATTGCATAAAATAGCGTAATTCGCCTATAGACTAAGACTTTTATCTTTTCCATTTGATTAAAGGATATTTTATTAAATGTATTGTATTAGCTTTGTGGCATTCCTTGGGGGAAGCCTATGTTGACGTGATGATGATGATTGTATAAGCAGAAAAATTGTAACCTACTGAGTACTTCAACGTTTAAGTAAAAATAACTAATAATCTTACGTGTATAATACATAAATATGTAACATAACTATATATATTTTTATAGTACATCGGTGACAAATGATCACACAGTCCACCTGATGGTAAGCGGTTGCTGTGGCCGATAGATATCTACATCTATCCTCGTTTCCGAATTAAAATGCAGATGTGTTGTCAGCCGTGAGAACTAAGATAGATTGCCTCTTTTCCAGTAAAACGGGTCTCCGGTTCTATAATTCTATATACACTCAGTATACGAAACACAACAGCATTTACACTGGTACTCTGTGAAAGCGTGTTCTTTCCCCGGTCGAGCCGACCCATTCGTGTTGCAACTATACCATTAATATAGCTACAGCATGGCTCTGCCACGTAAAATATATCAAATATAAGAATATAATTTATTTATCAAATAGGAGAATAATCTTGATATAACCTACAATAATTGACACAATATAAATAAATAGTTAGTACAAGAGAGTAACAAGGAGATGGCCCCCAGTCCCCGGCGGCCCCGCTATTCCTGGCTACGGTGGCGACCATGGTAACGGCGGTGCAGGGGGTGCTAAGAATCTCCGGTGGAGGTTCGGTTGCCACCTTAGACGACTCGACCTGGCAACGTACAACGCACGCACCCTGAGGACTGACGAGAAGATCGTTGAGCTGGAAGAAGAGAGACAAGTTACGCTGGCATATTATAGGATTATCTGAAGTCCGAAGAGAGGGGGAGGACACGGTAATCCTCGAAGCCGGCAACTTGCTCTATCACCGGGAGGGCGACCATTTGTCCCAAGGAGGTGTCGGATTTATCGTCCACAAGTCTCTCGTTAACAACGTTGTAAAGATCGGGAGTGTGTCGACGAGGGTTGCGTACCTTATACTCAGAATCATTAAACGGTATTCGCTGAAGGTCATACAGGTTTACGCACCAACCTCGGCACACCCCGATGAGGAGGTGGAGGAAATGTATGAGGATATCTCTAGAGCCATGCATTCCTCCAAAACCCAATATACGGTGTTAATGGGAGACTTCAATGCAAAACTAGGCACAAGTGAGAACGGTGAGCTGAAAGTAGGGAAATTTGGAATAGGGCAACGGAACCCAAGGGGCCAGCAGCTGGCCGACTTCATGGAGAAAGAGGGACTCTTTATGATGAACTCTTTCTTCCAGAAGCGGCCCCACAGGAAGTGGACCTGGTCGTGCCCTGACGGTTCGACAAAAAATGAGATTGACTTCATTATGACGACCAGACGACAACTGTTCAGTGATGTCTCCGTGATCGCGAGGGTGAAAACTGGTAGCGATCACCGAATGGTTAGAGGCACACTGAACCTAAACGTTAAGTTGGAGAGGTCTCGTCTAATGAAGTCAACGCTCCGTCCCCCTCGTGCTCTTTTCCAAAGTCCTGAAACCTTTCAGCTCGAGTTACAAAACCGTTTTCATTGCCTAGAAGACTGCAATGAAGTGGACGATATGAACGACAAGCTCGTGGAAACTGTCTATGCGGTCGGAGCTAAGTTCTGCAAGACCCGCCGCAGAAGAACACAAAAACTCTCCGATCACACTGTTAATCTCATGGCTGTTAGACGGGAGATGAAGCTACATTCTTCAACAGATTTGACAGCATACAGGCAACTGAACAGATCTCCAAATGCATGCGGCGGGACTTCAATACAGCTTGTATTGAAGAAGCGATCGAGCGGAACCATGGCTCCAAAGTCTTTGCCAGAGATCTGTCTGCCAGAAATAGCCAACTGTCAAAGCTGAAGACCGAGTGTGGCAGCATCGTTTCCGGGGCACCTGACATTTTGAGTGAGATTGAGAGGTTCTATGGACAGCTGTACATGTCATCGTTGGAGCCACACGCAAGTGTGAGTAACGATCCAAGAGCGAGTCTTATCCGACACTATTCCGAAGATATCCCGGACGTCAGTCTGAGCGAGATTAGAATGGCTCTCCAGCATTTTAAAAACGGCAAGGCCCCAGCCGAGGATGGAATTACAATTACTTGTACAACCAGTGCGTGTTGCCAGTGATGACTTACGGAACTGAGACGTGGTCCTTCACTGCTGGCCGTATGAGGAAGCTCAAGGTCGCTCAGCGAGCTATGGAGAGCGCTATGCTCGGAGTTTCTCTGCGTGATAAACTTAGGAATGAGGATATCCGCAGTAGAACCAGAGTGACCGACATAGCCCAACGGATTAGTAAGCTGAAGTGGCAGTGGGCCGGCCATATAGCTCGAAGAACCGACAACCGATGGGGAAGAAAGGTTCTCGAGTGGCAGCCTCGTACCGGTAGGCGAAGTGTAGGGCGTCCCCCCACGAGATGGAGTGACGACCTGGTAAGACATGCAGGAAGTCGATGGATGCAGGTGGCTCAGGACCGTGCTTTGTGGCATTCTTTGGGGGATGCCTATGTTCAGCAGTGGACTTGTGAAGGGCTGTAATGATGATGATGATGATGAAGAACTACAGACCGATTTCCCTTCTGGGCCGCGTTTAGGTGCTGTTTTCGAGAGTCATTACGAATCGTCTCGCACGCAGACTTGACGACTTCCAGCCTCCCGAACAAGCCGGTTCCCGAAAGGGCTTTAGTACCATAGACCACATACATACCCTTCGCCAAGTTGTACAGAAGTCCGAGGAGTACAATTTGCCACTATGCCTGGCGTATGTGGACTATGAGAAAGCCTTTGATTCCGTCGAAATTTGGGCGGTGCTGCAGTCCCTTCAGCGGTGCCAAGTTGACTGTCGGTATATCGAAGTACTAAAGTGCTTGTACAGTAGGGCTACGATGGCTATCCGAGTACAGAATCAGAGTACGAAACCTATCCAATTGCAGAGAGGTGTAAGACAGGGTGACGTTATATCCCCGAAACTCTTCACCGCTGCATTGGAAGATGTTTTCAAGCTTCTGGACTGGAAAGGATACGGTATTAACATCAATGGCGAGTACATCACTCACCTTCGATTTGCCAACGATATAGTCCTTATGGCAGAATCGCTGGAGGACTTAAGCACTATGCTCAATAACCTCAATAGTGTCTCCCAACAGATAGGTCTTAAGATGATCATGGACAAAACAAAGATTATGTTTAATGTCCATGTCACACCTATGCCGGTAGTTGTTGGGAGCACTAAGCTCGAAGTTGTTGACGAGTATGTTTACCTGGGACAAATAGTCCGAATAGGTAACTCCAACTTCGACCGAGAGGTCAATCGACGGATTTAACTCGGCTGGATAGCGTTCGGGAAGCTACGACACATCTTCTAGTCAGACATACCTCAAAACCTTAAAACGAAATTGTACAACCAGTGCGTGTTGCCAGTGATGACTTACGGATCTGAGACGTGGTCCTTCACTGCTGGCCGTATGAGGAAGCTCAAGGTCGCTCAGCGAGCTATGGAGAGGGCTATGCTCAGATATTCTCTGCGTGATAAACTTAGGAATCAAGATATCCGCAGTAGAACCAGAGTAACCGACATAGCCCAACGGATTAGTAAGCTGAAGTGGCAGTGGGCCGGCCATATAGCTCGAAGAACCGACAACCGATGGGGAAGAAAGGTTCTTGAGTGGCAGCCTCTTACCGGTAGGCGAAGTGTAGGGCGACCCCCCACGAGATGGAGTGACGACCTGGTAAGACAAGCAGGAAGTTGATGGATGCAGGTGGCTCAGGACCGTGCTTTGTGGCATTCCTTGGGGGAGGCCTATGTTCAGCAGTGGACTTATGCAAGGCTGTAATGATGATGATGAAATAAATAGTTATATCATACCTATACTATAAGTGAGCAATTCTTGTATGTGTAGGCCTATATGATATGCCCGAAGTATAATAAAACTGAAGTGCGGTTTCACCTACGTTTAGCCGGCTACAACTAGTTGCAGAAGACTGCATTTGTTTAAACATAAGGTGTATTCGATTTGTCCGAGTAATTTATAAATAAATTATATAGTACGTGAGGGTAATATGGTCATCCGGTTAATAGTTGATGAACTATTTTTTGTCCTATCCCTGTCCCAGATATTCAGTTTTTTTTTTTCAAAAAGTATATTTGGGAGTCGGAAAATTAAGTGTTTATCTTATAGTTATTTTTGTTTTTCCTTCATTTATACACTAAGCACTAATTGTATTCTAAATTTCAAGCTTCTATGTCTGCTAGAAGTGCCTTAGAGTTTTGATAATCGGTCAGTCAACCAGTGAGTGTGAGTGACAAAATTAAGAAACTTTGACTGGTTATAATTCTTAAACTACTAGTTCAAATTGAATGAAATTTGAAATATACCGTGTTTATATAATTCTTGCTTGGTTACTGAAAATTCAGGCTTCTAGTTTTTTATTCACAACGAAGTTATAGGGGGGTCAAAAATGGCCTGAACTGCTTCGAGAAAAGCATAGTACTTTTTTTGCTCGATTTGGCGGGTTCACTGCCTTGCTCCTAGACTAGTGGTAGAAAGAAGGTACGCCGAGATAGAACAAAACTATGCAGAGACAATAAACGATTAAAAGAAGAAAATGAAAAGTTAAGGAAAAAATACAAAAATATAAGAAGAGTTCAAAGAAATAAAATAAAATCTAAACAGACAAACAAAGTACCAGCGAAAAAAACGAATTGCACATCTGATGGACAAAATAAATACACAATATTATGTAATGCGATCAAAGAACGATATCGAAGAGTTCACAATAACAAAGAAAAGACG